AATTTCCTTTAAGTCAAAGTTATTATTTTTTTTAATCTTAACTTTAAGCAATTGCAAATTATACACTCTCCAGGCTAGTAAAAATAAAACTCTTATACCACTTTTTCCAATGTTGTCACTGAAATGTATATATCATGGTGATTGGATACACATTGGTGGTGGTTTAGTCTCTAAGTTGTATCTGACTTTTGGTGACCCCATGGACTGTAGCCTGCCAAGTTCTTCTGTCCATGGGGATTCTCTAGGCAAGAATATTGGACTGGGTTGCCATTTCCTTCTCCAGGGGATCTTCCTGACCCAGGAATTGAACCCAGGTGGCCTGCATTGCAGGCCATTTCCTTACCAACTTAGCTATGAGGGAAGCCCTGGATACACGTTATCTTCCAACAAAAAATACATGAAGAAGTTTGCCTTTAATGGTTAGAATTTTTAATAGCTCCTTTTCCTCATTGAACTAATATTTTGATTTTCCTTTCCAACTGATTTTTATCATTCATATTGCAAACTTTTTTATATCACAAAGCTTTGTTATGTTTTGAAACTTTTCTGCAACAAATACGTAATTTATTTTTTAAATTGTTTGTGATCATAACAAAGATTTTATCCTCATATATAAAACTAATAAAAATTGGGAAAAACAAATTTTGATGGTCATAAAAAATAAAATTGCATTGGAAATGTATTTCTTAATAGGATAGATAGGTTTTAAATAGGTAATGAAGTAAAACAAAGACTTGTAAAATAACATACTTATAGAGGGAATAGAGGAGCATAGAAGGAGCAATGAGTCATTTTACTTGGTTGGTATGGGAAATGATCTCCAAAGAAAATGCCATTTATACCGGATCTTAAGTATTAAAAAGCATCCTTTGGGAAAATAAGGCAGAAAAAGAAAACTTGAGGCAGAGATAACAGTGTGTGCGAAGCGTGGAGAAAAAGGAGAAGATGACCTGTCGAGGCAAAAGATCTTTTTGGACATGTTATATTTGTGATGTCTGTTAGATATCCAGATGAACTCTGATGTCTTCTTGGCAGCTGAATTTAAGAATGTGGAATTTGGTAGGATAGGTTTGAACTTCTAATACACTATTCAAAGTCAATAAATTAACCCAAGCTTAGATGAGATCATATGGTAAGTGAAAGTAGGCAGAAAAGAGAAGAATTTCAAGCACTGAGTGTGTTGGAGCACTCCAACATTACAAGGAGAAGGCACCAGTAAAGCGAAGTGAGAGTGATGCCAAGTGCTATCTCAGAAACCAGATAAAGAAAATAGGTAATCCACTCTCACATGCTGCCACAGAGAGAAGATGAGAGAAGAGAAATTATCATTTTTATTGTCTTTTAAAATTCCAGGTTAAAATGCCTTTCTAACCTAAGGGCTTCCTAGAAATGGTATTCAAAATTTCCAAAAAGATGTTTCTTTTCTTTTGTCATCCTTCTATTTTTTTTTTTTTTTCTTTTCGGTATCTAGAAAATGCCGCCTTCTGTATTTTGTTACTAGGTCATTTGCTACATAGGGATTTTTGTCTGTTGCAACTTTTAGAGTGTATCATTTTAATTTAGCAATATTACCTTTTAAAAATGTGCTTATACTATAATTTTGTGGGGTTTTGATATTAAAGTTACCACTGAGTATTTTTTTATTCATTTGTCAAATCTTTTTTTCCTAGCTTTTTTTCAGTTCTTCTTCTAAATATATTTTTGTTTAAAATTAAATATATGTGAAATAAAAATATATAATGTTTATACAATAAAAATATATATGAAATAAATATGTATATAGTAAACTTCTATATATGTATGTAACTGTATAAGTACTTTAAATTTAATGCTGTTTCCTATTTCTCTCTCTTAGCCTGGCCAACTTGATTTTCTTTTCTTTCTTGTAACTTCTTTCCTGCCCTCCATATTAACTTGGAATTTATATTACATAGCTCACTCTTTTTCTAATAAACATGTTGGTATATTGAAATAATATAATAATCAAGCCTCCTCAGGTGAAGAATAATTTACATCTTTTGGCTCATGGTTTACTTCCTAAGTCATTGAACATGCCAAGCTATTAGTGTTTCTCAAGTAATGGGAAACCATGGTTCATCTTGTAGCCTCTACTCTTGTGAATAATTACAAGCTCCTAGCAATACGAATGACCTTATAAAGTCTCTTTCCTCTGGGATTGTAGATTAAACCTGAAGGTCCTTTCTCACAGATTCCAAGGGGAAGTCCAAAGGCTTTCTGACAGGTTTCCTCAGGAAACCATGAAATTCTTGTATCCACAGTGGCCTGAATGAGAGATGGGTTTTGGACTTCTGTCCTTATTTCTTTGGGTGAGAATGACAATGGATTCCCACTCCTGAGCATAAGAGAATAGGGCTTGACATAAAGCCAACACCTTTCCACAGTGCCCTAGAGTTACTCTAAATCCGTATTCTAAAGCTGTTTTCATTTAACCTTATATCCAAAAATGAGTACCTGCATGTGACAAATGAACTGGATGCTAAATTTAACTGGAAATGAATCTGACACTAAGGGCCATTAGAAATAATTTACATTGTTATTTGGCATTACAGAAAGACACATTATGCTTAAAATAAGGAACTGTACAAGAATAAGTCAAAGGATGGGCATTGCAAGATAACTGTGAAACAAAATATTTAAGGACCAAACAACCAGTAATAGGATTAATGGGGTTAATTAAATGAAGACAAGCCCATATATTGAATACTATATACTACACATAAAATAGTGGCATAGTAATAATAATAGATAGCATTCCTATAATGTCTTATGTGTCAGGCTTTGTGCAGAATGTCTTACGTATATTAACCCCTTTAAATCTCATAACAGCTCTAAGAGGCTCAATGAGTGCACTTATTTTCTCCATTTTAACAAAGAAGAAGCTGAAACACAGTCAAATTAATGGATTCACCCAATAATACACAACCAGTAAGTGGTAGATCTATAGTTATGTTGACTGATGTGAAAGAACAGCATGACATTTCATGAAGAGATTAAAGAAAACACACATACACAGTACAAAGTGTATTGTAAAGTGTAATTTACATTTCTGTAAGAAATAAACGTGTGCTTGTGTGTGTGTGAAACGAAAGCCATGTGGGTATAAACCATACTACTCAAGAGGAGGATTTAGGTGTTGGGATTTCTACTTTTTGCCTCATACACTATTTTATGCTTTTAAAAAACTTTATTACAATACACGTGTCACTTCTGCAGTTCACCATTTAAAGAAATACAAATTTGAATGAAAAGGCTACCATATTATACTACGAAAAAAATGTTAAAAAGTCATATTTTTCACCCCTATGGAGCTGATAGCCCTCAGGCCAGTTGTTTATATTGATGGTAATTACAGTTAGCTATTTGAAAAGTATTATTTATTATGAAAAGTAACATAATAAAATACTTATTGGCTTTCCAGTCAGTGAATTCCTTTATATTGCATTGGCCAAAAACTTCATGTGGGTTTCTTCCATAAGATCTCGTGAAAAATCCGAACAAAGTTTTTGGCCAACTCAATACATTTTGCTGCATTAATTTCCTTCCTTTAGTCAGCTCTCTCTCAATCCTCTTGTCATATCTTCTCCCCCCACATCAGAGTTTCCTCACTTGAGAGAAACAAGTTTCAAACATCACCATCTGGATTTCAATTTTTAAAGTTTATTTAAGTACACGAGGATGTTGCCAAGAACGCAAAACTCTTTGCTTGCTCAGCTGAGACTAACTACAGTTGGGAGCTTTTGTCTAACCATCAGGGTTAGAAAAGAGAAAAACTGAAACCTCCTTATTGTAAACAGTTGACACTAAACAACGTTACCCACTCAGCTGATGTTCAATAAATATTTATGTCATCGTTCTCAATTTCTTCCACAAGATTTTTAGAAATTAGTAATATATATCCTGTATTTCCATGAAGTTATAGTTTGTAGAAAGCAAATTTCCATGGAAACTGATACAGGGAAAAGTATAATTTTGCTAAGATGTTGTGAGTTAAATTATTTAGTGAATTTGAGAGCCAAAAACTTTGAGAAACACATTAATATTTCTGTTTCAACAATGTTAAAATAGTATAGTATTTCATCATAAAAATTTTCGTTGTTCTCCTTAGTAGACATGTTTGCTTTCTTTTAAAGTGATAAACAAATTTTCCTCAAATATTAATGTTGACTTAGAAGGATATAAGCATTTAAACAACTATTAATGAGTTTTTTCCAGATATTAATACTTCTGTGTGCTTTGTTATGACTTGAGTGTCAACCTGAAACCATTTCTGTAATAAGCAAAGTAATATATACACTGGTCTGTTAGATTAAAAAATCATAAACACAAATATAATGGAATATGCATCATTTCCTTTAGAATTTATGAAACTGTTTTACATGATATTCCCTAAAGGGTGAGAGAAAAAAAATCAAGCCATTTTTGATAGGTAATATAAATAATTCCCAGAAGAAATCATAACTGTTTCTGATTATTTTTGCTTTAACTATGCAAATGCATTCCTTATCTGTACCTTAACTTTATCTACTCATAAACATCCATTGAATAAACCAGAAAAAGGTTATACTTATGAATTACTTTTATTCTTGTCTTGTTAGAAAAGAAAACTATAGAATTTGAAATAAAAAGGGAGATAGAAAATACAGACACTAAGTTTATCTGAAATAGGATGACACCTATGTGAAATCTTTTTATAACCTGATATAAACATTAAAAACAAGAAATAATGAATATTATTAAAACTATATACCCCATATAATATAAAATGAATGTTGAGAGATATAAAATCATGTGAAGTCATTGATATTTTTCTAAATATATTCCTTTCTCACACTCAAACAGATAAATGTTAATACTGCCATTATTCACTGTTTTTACCTTAATAAACCACATGTTCCTGATGTTCTGTTAGATCAGCCTCAAGAAAAACAAGATGACTATAATAAATGTTTAAAAAAATTTAAAAAGGCAATTATTCTTACCGACACACTGGACCATTTTTCTCCACCACACAAGTCCCACCATTTCTGCAGTAACCTCTTGGACATTCTAAAAAGAAGCAACCCAAACCCCACAGTTAATTATACATATTACCAGAAAGAAGGAAGACATATTACTATTAATCAAAATATTAAATCTAATCATGGAGAATAAATTGCTTCCTACTTGTTAAAAACACAAGAATTTGTTTAGGCTACTTTCCTGTACCCCCAAATTTGTTCAGTGCTCCCCACTGCTCTGGATGTGTTCATTCCTTATACATGACCAGCGCTTGGTCCTAAGACTTTCTTTCCCCATAGATTGGGTACAATCTACTTATTTAGAAGGTCTGTATGACGTTCTTGTGATGACACCAAAATGTTTTCTTTACTGCAACATTTCTTCACTTCCACACACCAGTCACTATATCATGGCAGATAAACGCTTCGCTGGGGTGACTGTCATTTTGATAAAATGTCACTCGTATGCAGACTCTTTTCCTACCCTCCATGTCTGTGACAGACGTCAACACAGCTCAGATGGATCCTCACCGCCCTGAACCTGCTTATTTTGCTGCTGGTATCATCCCTGAGTTCTAGGTTAGCATGAACATTTATTTTCAAAGACGGTTTGTTTATAAGTTAAAAAGAAGCTAAATAGTTTCACGCAGTCATGCCTGTAGAAGTGGTGAGTGTTGCTCTCCCAAATACACTACCACATGGGTAAGACAGGGAGCTAGCGGGAGGCTTTAGCTCCGAGTGCTCTGTGACAACCAGGTGGGATGGGATGGGGGCTGGGGCTGGGAGGCTCAAGAGGGGGGAGATGTATGTATGCATAATAGCTGATTCACATTGTTGTCCACCAGAAACTAACACAACAGTGTAAAGCAATTATACTTCAGTAAATTGTGTAAATTCAGTAAAGAAGTGGTTAGTGACTTCAGCTCTTTGCTTAACACTGTCTCCTTGTATTGTTGCTACTTGACCCTGATCCATTGAAACGTGCCAATTTCCCCACTCACTTGACCCCCTCCTTACTCGTTTTGGCTTCTTCACACCTCCTCTCTTGTAGGAGACAATTCTTCTCTGATTAGGCTATCATAACTCTAGCAGTCGAGAAGCCTATACTGCTTTTCATGTGTAATCAACACATCTATTTTGAGCCCCTATTCTATGCCTGGCACTTGCCTAGGCACTGCATATGGAATGATAAATAATACAGGAAGCTTCATAGCTGTTAAGGCTGAGGGTACTGGAGCCAGACCACCTGAGTTGAAATCTCAGCTCAGTCTATGAGCTGTGTGATTCAGAGTGAGGTAGTTAATCTCTCTGTGCCTCAGGTTTCTCTCTGTTAAACAGGGTTAATAATAGTACCTATCTCATGGGGCTGTTGAGAATGTTAATAGAACATCAGGCTCATAATATGTGCTCAAGAAATGTTGATCTAAAAATGATATAGGCACAGCCTCTGCTCTCATTGACCTTCCAGCTTCATAGAGGATGTAAAAAGTGACTAGGGAATGAAAATATGGCATTAAAAGTAGTCTACTTTGTAATGAATGTAACAAGGGTAATGGGGACACCAAGGAGAGAACCTAAGTCAAATTTGACCAATAAGGAAAAGCTCCAGAAGAGCTTTTATTTGGATAGGGGTGTGTGTGTATGTGTGTATGTGTGTGTGTGTGTGTGTGTGTGTGCGCGTGTGTGTTAAGGTAAACATAAAGACACAGAGGTCTGAGAAGAGACTGGTGTATTTGAGAAACTGAGGGACGTTCCACCAGACTGGGTTGTTGATAATACAAAATATGAGAGAAGGTCATAGACACACAGGGACCAGATCATCTGGGTTCAGTGAGTTTAAACTTTACCCTAGGAGACTAGGATCTTAAGAAGGAAGTGGTATGGCTTATGCTTTAGAAGGATAATTCTGGCTACAGAGTTTACAGTCAACAGAAGGGCCAAGGCAAAAAATCTGGGTGTACGACACAATCCAGGAATGCCTGAATGAAAGGGACGGAATGGGAGTATTCAGAATTGTGGGAATTTATGAGATATTTAAATACTGGGACTGAAACATTTTGGGAAAGTCAAGGATGATATTCAAATTTCTGACTGGGTTACTTATTAATTGATGGCTTGATTCCTTGAGTTGTGGAATTTATGGGCAAGGAAGATTTTAAAGTGAACAATGATGCTGTGTTTAGGTGCCTAAGGAACATCCAAATGGAAGTATTCAGTGGGCAGATTTGTATATTAACATAGATAGAGAAACCATTTACTTGGGCAGAGGAAGGATGATGTTCATGAGGCAGAGCAGAAAAGTAAAGAGGAGAAATAGAGCCATTAGGTGGGTATTATCTACCGCAGGAAACCATGAGTCTAAAGAGTCAGATCGTCAGGTCAGTCACTGAAAGTTCAGAAGAGGCTGGTAGAGGCATTAGAAAAGAGGAAAGCAGGGAAGAAGAAAGGTTGCATTCTGGAAACAAACTTGAAATATACCACATGTTTAGTATACATTTCGTTTCAAAACTTTCCAGTGTTTTGCTTTTCTGGGGTATATTTCCTGTCTTGCTTTTGCCAAATTCTCCTATGTAACTTCAAGAGGAAAGTGCAGGCCTGGAGATGAGCATAAAGAGCTGCCCCCCTCAGGCACTGAAGGCAGACTTGACTGAACAGAGCAGATATGAAATTTCCTTCATAAGTAAGAAATTAGCTGGCCTGACTAAAAATACTCTATCAATTTGATATAAATAGATATATACCTTGTTAGATTAACCATTTTATTATCATTGATATTTTTTGTCTTCAGTTCAGTTCAGTCGCTCAGTCGTGTCCGACTCTTTGTGACCCCATGAATCGCAGCATGCCAGGCCTCCATGTCCATCACAAACTCCCGGAGTTTACTCAAACTCATGCCCATTGAGTTGGTGACGCCATCCAGCCATCTCATCCTCTGTCGTCCCCTTCTCCTCCTGCCCCCAATCCCTCCCAGCATCAGGATCTTTTCCAATGAGTCAACTCTTTGCCTGAGGTGGCCAAAGTACTGGAGTTTCAGCTTCAGCATCAGTCCTTCCACTGAACACCCAGGACTGATCTCCTTTAGGATGGACTAGTTGGATCTCCTTGCAGTCCAAGGGACACTCAAGAGTCTTCTCCAACACCACAGTTCAAAAGCATCAATTTTTCGGTGCTCAACTTTCTTCACAGTCCAATACTCACATCCATACATGACCACTGGAAAAACCATAACCTTGACCAGACAGACCTTTGTTGGCAAAATAATGTCTCTGCTTTTTAATATACTATCTAGGTTGGTCATAACTTTCCTTCCAAGGAGTAAGCGTCTTTTAATTTCATGGCTGCAATCACCATCTGCAGTGATTTTGGAGCCCCCCAAAATAAAGTCTGACACTGTTTCCACTGTCTCCCCATCTATTTCCCATGAAGTGATGGGACCAGATGCCATGATCTTAGTTTTCTGAATGTTAAGCTTTAAGCCAACTTTTTCACTCTCCTCTCTCTCTTTCATCAAGAGGCTTTTTAGTTCCTCTTCACTCTCTGCCATAAGGGTGGTGTCATGTGCATATCTGAGGTTATTGATATTTCTCCTGGCAATCTTGATTACAGCTTGTGCTTCTTCCAGCCCAGTGTTTCTCATGATGTACTCTGCATTTAAGTTAAATAAGCAGGGTGACAATATAAAGCAGGGTGACAATATAAACTCCTTTTCCTATTTGGAACCAGTCTGTTGTTCCATGTCCAGTTCTAACTATTGCTTCCTGACCTGCATACAGGTTTCTCAAGAGGCAGGTCAGGTGGTCTGGTATTCCCATCTCTTTCAGAATTTTCCACAGTTTATTGTGATCCACACAGTCAAAGGCTTCTGTGTAGTCAATAAAGCAGAAATAGATATTTTTCTGGAACTCTCTTGCTTTTTTGATGATCCAGCGGATGTTGGCAATTTGATCTCTGGTTCCTCTGCCTTTTCTGAAACCAGCTTGAACATCTGGAAGTTCACAGTACACATATTGCTGAAGCCTGGCCTGGATAATTTTGAGCATTACTTTACTAGCATGTGAGATGAGGGCAATTGTGCGGTAGTTTGAGCATTCTTTGGGATCGCCTTTCTTAGGGATTGGAGTGAAAACGGACCTTTTCCATTCCTGTGGCCACTGCTGAGTTTTCCAAATTTGCTGGCATATTGAGTGCAGGACTTTCACAGCATCGTCTTTCAGGATTTGAAATAGCTCAACTGGAATTCCATCACCTCCACTAGCTTTGTATGTAGTGATGCTTTCTAAGGCCCACTTGACTTCACATTCCAGGATGTCTGGCTCTAGGTCAGTGATCACACCATTGTGATTATCTGGGTTGTGAAGATCTTTTTTGTGCAGTTCTTCTGTGTATTCTTGCCACCTCTTCTTACTATCTTCTGCTTCTGTTAGGTCCATACCATTTCTGTCCTTTATCGAATCCATCTTTGCCTGAAATGTTCCCTTGATATCTCTAACTTTCTTGAAGAGATCTCTAGTCTTTCCCATTCTGTTGTTTTCCTCTATTTTTTTGCACTGATTGCTCAGGAAGGCTTTGTTATCTCTCCTGGCTATTCTTTGGAACTCTGCATTCAAATGGGAATATCTTTCCTTTTCACCTTTGCTTTTCCCTTCTCTTCTTGTCACAGCTATTTGTAAGGCCTCCTCAGACAACCCTTTTGCCTTTTTGCATTTCTTTTCCATGGGGATGGTCTTGATCCCTGTCTCCTGTACAATGTCCTGAACCTCCATCCGTATATTTAATCTCCCTCAAGTAAGAGCTGTGTTTTAATAAGAAAAAAATAGAAGTCTGATACTCCACAGTGTCAACATATAATACACAAGTGCAGATTTTTTTTCTGGAGTGATTAAAATTTACTTTGATGCTTGCTTTACATCAGAATGACTTTGTGGGAATCTAAGTATGCATTTTCCTGCACAGGAGAGTGGAGCACAGCAGAAAGAACACAGGCATCGGCTGCAATAAAGAGTGAATCCCGGTGTCTGGGTGAACAAAGATTTGTAGATTATCTCTGCGAGAAGTAGGTTTCTAAGCTTTTGCCTCAAAACCAAGTTCTTTATAAAGATAACGGGCAGAAACAGTACAAGCACTTTCATCTTTAATTTACTCAAAACAATTTACAGCAGAGAGCAGAGAGTGAAATGGGGAAAGACACAGACACCAGATAGTAATGAAAATACAAAAAATATTTAGTAGATAAATGAATAGTTGGGAGCTAGAAATCCATAAGCTGGATGTTAGAATTAGCACCACAAATATCTCCCTGCCTTGTACCCTCTTGAGTTGTTTATCATGACTATGTGTCTGGAAGCCTATACAACTCACTGTTAACCATGTGGAAATACCATTCTGGAAAGGATTCACATTCAATCTCACTCTCGTGTATGACTTTGGATAAGCAGAAAACACATATAAGTTGGATAAGTGATGAGTACAAAAACAAAAGTAACTTCTAAGCTTAAATCTAAATAATCTGCAGTTAGGCACACACACATATATATATTTATATAAAATATTTTTACACATATATATTTATAAAATATGCTTATATATATTTATATAATATTTGGGCTTCCCTGGTGGCTCAGCTGGTAGAGAATCCACCTGCCTTGTGAGAGACCTGGGTTGGGAAGATTCCTTGGAGAAGGGAATGGCTACCCACTCCAGTAGTCTGGCCTGGAGAATTCCATGGACTGTATAGCACATGGGGTCACAAAGAGTCAGAAACAACTGACTTCACTTTCACTTTATATGATATTTATATATAATATAATCATATATTTTTATATTTGTATTTTATTTATATATTTTTTTCCCTTCTCAGTTGCATGGAAACTGGAGCAGTGATGACTATTCTATGGTGGACTATAGGGAAGACTGACAATCATGTGAGTCCTGGTTTTCCCTCTGTGATACATGACTTAGTTAATGATTTATGTATTGTTGTTGGGTTAGGTATTTTAGGTATACAATTCTTCATGTTTAAAATGAAGATGACCTTCTTTTATAGGACTTCTGGGAGGATAAATTGAAAGGACTGATGCTGAAGTTCCAATACTTTGTCCACCTGATGTGAAGAACTGACTCTTTGGAAAGGACCCCGATGCTGGGAAAGATTGAGGGCAGGAGGAGAAGGGGACAACAGAGGATGAGATGGTTGGATGGCTTCACCGACTCAATGGACATGAGTTCAAGCAAACTCCATGAGTTGGTGATGATCAGAGAAGCCTGGTATGCTGCAGTCCATGGGATCACAAAGATTCGGACACAACTGAACAACTGAACTGAACATTTTTATAGCAGTGAATGGTATGAATAAAGTATTAAATGATTGTTTTCATCTATTTCCCCATATTTGGTGTTCTTTTTTAAAAATGATACAAGTTATTTATTTATTTGGCTCTGCTGGGTCTTAGTCGCCACACGCAGGATCTTCAAACTTCATTGTGGCATGCTGGATCCTTAACTGGGGCATGTGAGATCTAGTTCCCAACCAGGAATCAAACCTGAATCCTCTGCTTTGGGAGTATGGAGTCTTGGCCCCTGGACCACAAGGGAAGTCCTATTTGGGGGTTCTTTGAGTTTACCATGGAACTTAATTTCTATTACCACTGCTTTCTCCAAATTCTCTTATTTTCCCCCTTCTATCATCATGATCACCATCATCACTACCGTTTACAGAAGACCTGCTCTATCGGAGACAAACAGCAAGAGTTTCAAGCATTTTACTGATCTTACTTCATTTAATCCTCACAGCATTAAGTGGTATAACCCTATATCCCATACTTATCTTCTTCTACTTTTTTTTTTTTTTTTAAACAGAGGAAGAAACTGGTTAATAGTATAATTTGCTTAAGTTACCAGCAAGGGAACACCAGATGTTTAACAAAATTTTGGTCCTATAGTTCTAAATCCTGTTAGCCTAAAGACATCAAATAATTTGCTATTCAGTTCAGAATTTCTACTGCCCCTTGTGTTTCTTGATATTATGTGGTATTTAGGCACTGCCACGGATTAAAATACATATACACAGTACACTGTATGTAGTTTCAGAAGCTCTATGGATTATGAGTTCACCAGAAAATTGTGCAGCAAACTAAATTCCTAGTGGGTAGAGACTTTTCTTTATCTTGAAATCCCAGCTCAGGGACAGCAGGGGGGATTAACTGCATTTCAGAAACTTGAAATAGCTTCACAAGTACTTGTATGAGAAATTTTTGTGTTATGTTTTGGTTTAGTTTTCAGAACCTCTGAAACTTTATTAAGCTATGTTATTATTATTGTTGTTAAAATATTAAATTAATACTATCTCATCTGATAACTGTATATTTTGTGTGCCTTTCCCTAATTCGCCTTCAAATAATGATTATCATAATTACAGTATCACTTTAACATAATCTTTATTAACTATACTACTGCAAATGACTGGAAAAAGACTTTCAATGTAAATTAACTCAGACATATTCTGTTTAATAATTTTCTTTGCCTAAGCAACCAAAACTTGAAAATATTCCTTCTTAGTATAACTTGGGAACAAATAGGACTCATTGAAATATACTTAACCTGTAACACTCATGCAGTGCCTGAGCTTGATGTTTGGTTAATGACTTAAACCTTGAGGTGAGGGGAGACCAGCTGCTAACCATCTGTTGTGTGACCACTGGGAGAATTATTGGATGCTGTAAGATTGGGCTCATAAATGTCTGTGAAATGCTGACTTTAAGAGAATATGATGTTTTAAAAGAGGAAGGTATAATATGCATGGACACATTTTAGCATGGATGAGGTATAAAGGCATTCTTAAAAACAGAAACATTAACTTTATCATATTTGATTGATAAACTAAAGGGCATAAAAATATAAATAAGTGAATACATAATATAATACGGATCTTTTTTATGAAAACCGTTTCACTAGTTCTTTATTTCATTCTAACCCAACAGCTGTGGCAATATGACCTATACTCTGTAAATGAACTAAGTGAACTGGCGAGTGATTGAAATGACAGATGACAAAAATGTGTACTATAATATTATCTACAGATTGTCCATCATACAGTATGAATGACAGGTCTTCTGTTTTCCTGACCGTATTTTAAAAGATAGAAAATGTCAAAGTAGACAGTGAACTATAACATGTTACAATATACTTGTTCTCATATAGGACTATCTTGAAAACAACCTCTGTTTTATATAGATAAATATGAGTATTGGACATAAGGGCTGTATCTTCATAAGTTCAAAGAATGGACTTATTTCATTATTACCATTCTTATTCTCTTCAGAGTAAGATCTCTCTTCAGAGGGTAAGAACACTTTCTTTTGTATATCTGATCTGATGTATAAGCATGCCTAGTAGAGATATAAAGTCAAAGAGCATTCATCTTTGCATATTTTATGGGATCAGATTTGCCCACTTCTCGATTTCCCTTTGTGCTCATAAAATTCAGTGCCGTGCAAGAACTCATTTTTAGCAGTATAAAAAATATTTTTGCATTATGATTTGATTTTAAATATCTTGCCTTTGTTGCTTATCTCATAATGTTTTTCTATCTTGAAAGATACAAAGAATATATTCTGTCCTAGTTTTGATATGAAATATCCCCAGTTTATTTATAAAATGTGATTGAATATATCTTTTATCACCAGTCCATATTATCTTTTAGTTGTGACATTTACATTGCCTCTATCTTTTATTTTACATATCCCGGCATGAAATAAAAATTCAGTTACTCAGGAGAGATGTTAACAATGCGCCACAACAAATTAGAGGTTATTAAAGCAGTTTTGATAAAAGTATAACACAAAAACACATTATCAGTTCTTATAAATATTCTGGGGTCATAAGAAAGAAAAATGTTTAAAAGCGAGTCTAAAGTTTCATAAATTGACTTTTAAGCATGACTAGATCATGCAAATAGGGAGTTCTTAGGAAGAGGTGAGAAAAATGCACAATTAAAAAATATTAATAACATATTAGATTATGTAGGGGTTATATAAGATTAGATTATGTAGGGTTATTATAGAAACCAGCAATTTGCATAGAGGAGATTATTAAATGTTAATTATGCTAAGTTATATTAAATTAAAATTGTTTGATTTTTATTTTGTGAACATTTTTAAATGGAGTATGCATGAGTTCATTGTATTATATACTGTTCATTTTTATAAATGTAGCAAAATAACCTTAACATTCTTCCTGCCACTAAGCCAATAACAGAAATGTAATTATTCTATGTTTGCTATTATTTAGAATTTCAAGTTTTAATATTTTTATTGTGCACAGGTGAAGTTACTGACTTATATCACAAAGAATATTTTAATGGATAGTTACCTAAGCAGCTGGATTCATCAGGTTGGAAATCCATGCAGTCTGCAAAACCATCACAGCGCTTGTGCACTGGGATACAGCTGTTAGAAGAAGAGCATGTCAAAGCTCCATGAGAACAGCTCTCGTTGGCTGAAGAAAGAAGAATAATAATCACTTAAAAAATGGATTTCTTCTATAATATAAGCCAATTCATTTTATCCTTCATTTCTCTAGCCTTATTGTTTTTAAAATATTTAAAAATCTATTCTGTATTGGAGTATAGTCGATTGTGATAGTGACAGGTGAACACCACAGGGACTCAGCCACACATGTACCTGTATCCATCCTCCCTCACATTCCCCTTGCCTCCAGGCTGCCACCTAATACTGACCAGAGTTCCTAGTTCTAGCCTTATTTTTAAACTATAGAGCTCTTAATGAAGAAAACTTCAATTTACTAAAATTTCCTAAAAAAACTGTCAATAGAATCATCATCCAGCTGTGCATCATGTAGTATTATTCATGTATGTATGTATAAAATGCTTTGTGTATGTTTGATGGTCTGAACTGATTTTAGACTAGTCAACTTTAATATCAAGGCAGATCTCTGTCTATACTTCTGTTGCTCCCCTAACATCTCTAAATTATGTGCTATTGAATTAGCAGAGACTGTAACTTGTTTGAATGTTCATCCATTTCCATCTGGGTCATAAGCCATGGGTAGTCACTGGGTATCTGTTAGATCCAGGTGATGGTGAAGGTCACTGCAGCCCAAGGTACTATGACTACATGCCTTGATAGCACTGTCAATGCATGATGTAGGTATTTCACTACTTCCAGAGTCTCCTGCTGGCTTGATTTCAAGGGGCAAGCATAAGTCTTGTGCATAAGACTTTGGTTATTTCAGAAAACTGCCTTTATGGATGCCCATCAAGACTACTGACAGCTCAATGGCAATCTAGTCCTCAAGAGTATTTGACCTTCCTCAGATGCTACTCTTAGTCCTGTAACTGTATTCTTGTATCCCTTATTTGAATATTTTAACCCAAAGTTGCTGCCAAAAACTTATAAAAGACTAATCTATGAAGTTACTTCTACTAGAATAAAGACAATTAAGCTCAAATTTTTCAAGCTAAAATGATAGTTTTAGAATACTCAGGAGCAAATTTCCCCATGTATAGGTCTTGCACAGATTTTGTCAGTTATGTCACAACTTTCTTTTTTAAGTATACTTGTGGGTTGGAAGGAGTTGTTTATTTGAATCAAAGGTTATTGACAAGTTTAGTTTGAGAACTGCCTATAACCACTTAATGTCAAGTAGGACATAAAAATGTTTTTAACAGAATATATTTTCATTGACTAAAACTGCTGGATCTGAAAAATTCAAGTGATACTCTTCATTGAGTGATTCTTCCTGCTAGAACATTAATTCCCACCAATAAATAATATTGAGCTGCCTTACTGTAAGTAAGAGATTATGCTTAGCACTTCCACTGGTAAGTGCAGGAAAGAGATTTTGAAAACAGTAATCAAAACACATGGAGCAACAAAATGAAGATAACAATATAAGAATGATCAATGTTTCAAAGTAAATATGAGAAATGTCATAAGCCAGACTTAGCTAGAAAAGCATTGGAATAGGTAAGTATGACAGAAACAAGAGATTCCTTTAGTATAGGGAAGTCTGTAAAGGGTTAAAGTAGCAATAGAGTCTTGAGATATTCTTTACATTTTAACTTACATTTTAATGCTTCCAGAGAAAAGCCATTTAGCAGAGTGGGAATCAAATCTACAGATTGGGAATCAATACTTTTGATATTGGAATAGTAAGTAAAGCAGTTTGCCTAGGCTGGATAATTTCTGTGAAGAGGTAGGAGAGACAAATCTATAACCAAAGTCTGAAACCAGACTGTAGAAATGGCTAAAGTGCTAGGAGAAAAAGCTAGAGAAAAAGCTCTTTAAGTTTTTCCAAAGGGTAACATAATTTTAGGATATACATTGACAAGATAAATAATATTCCAAACCAAATAAACTAAGAAACAGAATAATTTTCCAACTCTTATAAGATGAAGAGATGTTTGTAAAAATAAGAAAAAAAAGGATTGTGTCTCTAGAGCCTGCAAGCCACATTTACTGAAGCGTGCATGCCTACAGCCTGTGCTCCACAACGAGAGAAGCCACCACAGTGAGAGGCCAGGTCATGGCAACTGGAGCATAGACCCACCAGCAAGAAGACCCAGAGCAACCCAAAATAAGTTTAAAAATATTAATGTGTGACTAAAAACATGCATCAATATATCCATGCATATATGTATACGACAAAGGTCCCCATGGTCAAAGCTACGGTTTTGCTGGTAGTCATGTACAGATGCGAGAGTTGGACCACAAAGACTGAGAGCTGACGAATTGATGCTTTCAAACTGTGGTGCTGGGGAAGATACTTGAGAGACCCTTGGACTGCAAGGAGATCAAATAGTCAATTCTAAAGGAAATGAACCCTGGAGATTCATTGGAAGGACTGGTGCTGAAGCTCCAATATGTTGGCCACCTAATGCAAAGAACTGACTCATTGGAAAAGACCCTGATGCTGGGAAAGATTGAGGGCAGGAGGAGAAGTGGGGGACAGAGGATAATATGGTTGGATGGCATCACTGACTCAATGGACATGAGATTGAACAAACTCCGGGAGATTGTGAAGGACAGAAAAACCTGGTGTGCTGCCATCCATGGGGTCTCAAAAAGTCAGACACAACCGAGCAATTGAACAACAGCTATGTATGCATATGCATTTTATCATTGTTTTGAATTGCTAGGAGCTGCGAGATCATATGAGAGAACAGTTTTAAGGTTTTAATAATATGTTGAAATTTGTATACAAAGAGGATGGTGCTTATCTTCTTGAAGAGCATTATTTTGGACCCTTCTTTTCTCAGAAACACTAATCCAATTCATATTCCTTAACCCAATTTTCAATATGACTGAGAGCTTAGTTTCAAATTTATGGTACAGTGAAAAGTTCTAACTTGTAAATGATATAAGTGTTCAACCATAGCCCAAATAGCATTGAAAGTCATAAAATATATATAAGAAAACACATGGCTTCAATTTGTACAAAATTTTACTCTTTTCTTTTTATAGAAAATTTACAGTTTAGTTTGAGAACTGTAGATAGATAGTTTAGATAATTTAAAATTAAAATAATTAAAATTAATAATAATAATAATAATAATTTAAAATTGGCCTTTCACTTAATGAAATTAGAAACTAAAATCTTAGTGTCTGTGGCATTTTAAATGATATAATATTAAAGTTAATGAATACTTATTAATTGTGTTTTTAAAGTAGGTGGAAAACCTACTTTTACATATGTGATGAATACTTATCAACACCTACACAGCAAAGGACTGAAAGTAGGAAAACAAATGGAATCATCCTTTCTTTTTATCCATTATTAATACATATACAACAAAACATTTTCCAAAATTAGTCCAAATAAGCTATAAATAAAATTTATAGGAAAATCAGGTTTCAAGATGTTTCCTTGGACAATATCAACTTTTGCCACATTCTCTTTCAAACATTATGGTTTCATGGCTATAAAAATACTTATTTCAATCTGTCATCACCCTAGAGGTCGATACTCTTTCTAACCAAAATAAACTAAGTACCACAGTGCATTTTATGGCTTTTAGCTCATTTGCTTAGGTAGACGATACATCAAAAATAAACAGCTGGTGAATGATGGCTCACCAAAGTTACTTCTGTAAAGTAATATCCCTTTTGAAGATTATATCTGCTACATAAGAAATATACACAAGAGTAAAGCATATGTGACTATGGTTGTGTATCTATTTACTATTAAAATGAAATGTCATATATGTAGCAGATTAACATTTCTAACATTAGAGGCGCTATGGTTTTGTGCCATGAGAATGAAGGTGACAAGCCCTTCAAGGCAGATGCACCCCTAGCATGAAGCAGGATGTATATGTACTCTGTCCCTGAACAAAACCAATCTGTACTCTTATTAAAATATCTTAGCAGCTTAAATAATTTTAATAAAACTATGAAGATAATTTAATGTGGAAAGGATAATAATGCTTATATTATGTAATTTGCCACATTAATTCATTTAATTCTTGAATACCTCTGTAAAACAGACTTAACCACTATGATTTTCATGTTGAATAAACTGAGGAACACTTTTGTAAGAAGCTGTCAAATACAAAGGATAACCTTTATACATAGGGTGCTGAGATAATAGCTAACAAATTGAAAGTGAAAGTGAAAGTCGCTCAGCTGTGTCCGACTCTTTGTGACCCCATGAACTATACAGTCCATGGAATTCTCCAGGCCAGAATTCTGGAGTGGGTAGTCTTTCCCTCCTCCAGAGGATCATCCCAACCGAGGGATCGAACCCAGGTCCCCTGCATTGCAGGTGGATTCTTTACCAGTTGGGCCACAAGGGAAGCCCAAGAATACTGGAGTGGGGAGCCTATCCCTTCTCCAGGGGATCTTCCTGACCCAGGAATCGAACCGGGGTCTCCTCATTGCAGGCGGATTCTTTACCAACTGAGCTATCAGGGAAGCAACAGATTGAAAGGCCAGCAATAAAACTGTTGACAAAGGTTGGTTTACAAGTCTTAGGAGCACAACCCCACTCCTAATTTTCAGAAGTGGCATTTAACTTCGTAAAATACATCAACTACTTCTGGAATATAAACAAAAAAGTTGTGTGTGCTCAGTTGCTCAGTCGTGGCCAACTTTTTGCAACCCTGTGGACTGTAGTCTGCCAGGCTCCTCTGTCCATGGGATTCTCCAGGCAAAAATATTGAAGTGGGTTGCCATGCCCTCCTCCAGAGAATCTTCCCAACCCATAGATTGAACCCGCATCTCTTGCATTTCCTTCATTGGCAGGTGGATTCTTTACCACTAATATCACCTGGGAATCCCATCAATTAAAGTTAGATAGCAGTAAAACCATTCACCTCCCGATCTACTGGTCACAGTTATCTCTCTGATTGATAGAGAGCATCCATGTGCCTCTCTTGATCGATCTCCATCTTCTCTCCTTGCTCTGGACCCTAGGAGGCAGGACATCTTTTTTTGTCTTCTAGCTTTTGTTGGGTTTGATTGATGGGTACTACCAGTGGTAGGTTAATGCAGAGGAAGAGACTATGAGATTAGCAGTGGTTAGCTGCTCCCATTACAAATGCCACAAGTAGCTCTTCTTGACTCTAGATTCAAACAACTGTTCCCTCCTCTCTCATCCTTTGTTCTATGGGTGATAAAAGACCTCCTTGAGGTTTTCCTATGCATATTATTTCCCTAATAAATAATTCCTTTACTAAAATAGTCTAAAATTACACAATATCAACATGCCATCTATTTCTTGTTAGGACACTGACTGACACGTCTGATGAAATAAAAATCTTCATGGTGAATAGATTTCTTTCAGAAAATATCAATGAGAAGAATGTTTCTAGTTTTGGGTTATTTTCCCATATCATTAAACCATACTTATTTTTTTCCACTTTAAGGAAATTGGATATTTTTGGTCAAACAAAAGTATCACTAACTGAAGCGATACTTTTATAAAAAATATGTTATCAATGGAAATACATGATTAAATATGAATTATTTTTAAATGTTGGACTTACCATATGTTCTGTTTAAGCATTCTGATCACTAAACATGTATTTTTGCAAAAATAAAAGACTTTTAAATATCAATTGCTATCAATTTTCCTATATAAAATTTCAAACTTTTCAGAATTATGTTCCTAAAATGTTTAAAAACATGCAAGTCTCACAAAACAAACCAATCAATGAAACCTCTTATTTTGTCTTATATTCCAGTCTCAATGCCATCTTCTTGAAGGGGTTTTCTATAGCTGGCTTCCCTCTATGATTTCTCATCTTCTCCACAAAAGGCTGATGTCACAAATCTGTCCTCCCACTCTCCAGGATCACAGCAACTACTTTAGCTTTTTCCCAGTCTAAAAATTTTTAGTTCTAATTTTATGTGATCTTGCAGAAACATCTGAACCTGTGCATACCCTCTGATACATAGATTTCTACCTTTGATTTAAGATCATCATTCTCTTTTGATTGCCCTCCTATGTCTATGACCACATCTTGCTGTCTTTTGATTTTTTTTTTTTAAACTGTCCTTTAGATGTTCCTTAAGATCTGTCTCCCCCCTTAACTTTTCCCTCTATTATCTCATTTACAGCCACAGTCTGAATCCTTGTATGCTAATAGCTTTGTATCCTTAAATATCATCCTTGAGCTCATTCCTGAGCTCCACACACCCATTTCAAAACATATTCTGAATGTTTCCATGTGGATATGCCAGAGATAACATAAATAAAATATGTTTAAAGGTGAAGCCACATTCTTACCCTAAGACCTTCTCTTCCTATTTTTCCCAGCTCAAGAAATGGCAGATTAGCTGTCTTGTTGCCTAGATCAGAAACTTGGAAACTATTATTGATTTCTTTCTCCTGCTCTTCATTTGAATATCTCTTAAATCTATTCATCCTGTGCATCATACCATTAACCTAATCAACCCCTTATTATTTCAAGTGTGACATCTCCTAACCAGGCACCCATCCTCATTCCAATCCATTCCATGTACCACTTAAACACTTACTTATCACTGACATTATAGGGTGGACTCTTCAAGACCTAGTCTCTGCTTATCTCTCCCAACTTATTTCTACATTTTTCACCACAGACTATATGAAATATTCTTCAATCAAACAACTTCTCCTCTATTCTTGGAACATTCTCACCAGAATCAAACATTTCAAATTGGCTAATGACTATCTGTCTTTCCAAATTTGACTCTGTGATCATTTTTCATGTTAAAATTTATAGACACTCTGGCAGCATAGTTAGGGAGTACCCTGTGTTATTCAATAACACTTTGCTTATCTCTCACAGAACTTACCACATGGTATCCCAACTATCATTTACTACCCTCCTTCACTAATATACAATGTATCTAACAACCTGAGTTTGTTTCGAGTCATGTCCATTGGATCATCAAGGCCCAATACAATGTGTGGTATAAATTACATCCTTAAGGTCTGTCTAGTCAAGGCTATGGTTTTTCCAGTGGTCCTGTATGGATGTGAGAGTTGGACTATAAAGAAAGCTGAGTGCCAAAGAATTGATGCTTTTGAACTGTGGTGTTAGAGGAGACTCCTGAGAGTCCCTTGGACTGCATGGAGATCCAACCAGTCCATCCTAAAGGAGATCAGTCCTGGGGGTTCATTGGAAGGACTGATGTTGAAGCTGAAGCTCCAATACTTTGGCCACCTGATGTGAAGAGCTGACTCATTTGAAAAGACCCTGATGCTGGGAAAGATTGAGGGCAGGAGGAGAAGGGGACGACAGAGGATGAGATGGTTGGATGGCATCACCGACTCGATGGACATGAGTTTGAGTAAACTCCGGGAGTTGGTGATGGACAGGGAGGCCTGGCGTGCTGCGGTTCATGGTGTTGCAAAGAGTCGGACAGGACTGAGCGACTGAACTGAACTGAATGAAGGTTTGTGAATGAATGAATGACAGTTTATAAAATGCCATTTCTAAATGAAAAAATGAGTCCAAAAAAAATACTGTTATGCTTTCAATTGTTTAGTAAATTTTCACCATCAGATGACAATCCTGTAATTATTGCTCTAGCATTTTGTCCACAATTTATTTTCATGCAATTTTCCCTACAGAGTCATAACTCAATAAATATTTTGGAGATGGAGAAGAGAAATTCTTTCACAGTACCATCTGTTCCTAATGTACACTTATTTCCCTTTAGGAGCAGAATTCCATATATTACTATCTCATCAAATAACAATTTTCTAACATACATCTAAAAGTATAAGAATACAGTATCTTCCTATGCTTCTCTATGAATAGCACTGTTATTTGAAGTCAAATACCATATGACTATATTGAGCTTAATCTGATTTCTTTTTTATTTTTTAAAATTTGACCAAGCCATGAGGCATGTGGGATCTTAGTTCGCCAACCAGGGATTGAACCTGTGCCTATAGCAGTGAAAGTGCCAATTCCTAATCATTGGACCACCAGGGAATTCCTTAACTTAATCTGATTTCTAACAGCCAAATTCCATTAGAGTCTTGATCAGAACAGGGATAAGTAACTTGGCTTCCTCTTCCTCATTTGCCTCTATTTGTTTAGCTTGCCTCTAAGACAATATTATATGACCTCACAAACTGACTTTACTATAGAAAGGATATACATGTAGGAAATAACAGGGAAATAGAAAGCCAAGGAAAACAGATTATTGATTTAAAGCTAAAACCTTCAAACATACAAAAATTGTCTTTCTTTACTTCATTCATCTTCATGCCTTTTGCAATAGATATCATAATTCTGGATGCTCAAAGAAAATTCTATTTTTTTTCCAATATCCCCATCTTACAGTTACATTCCAAACTTTACTGCTCCAAAAAAAGTGGCCACTAACATATGGCTTATGGAGCTCTATCACTGCAGCTCATATACAGTGTGATACAACATGAAACCAGACAAAAAATAATTAAATAAAATGCTAGTGGTGCCTTGACTCCACCATGATTATGTGCTTACCTTAAAGATTTGTGTAATTTGTGTAATTACTTAATTAACACTCTTCCTTCTCTATCTGACATAGGCTAATTATAATAAAGAAAGAATTTGATGAATGCAGGACTGAGAATTTTACAGGCATTCTCTCCGATTCTTATAGCCCTGTAAGGTAGGTATAACAGGGGTGGTGAGACTGACTCAAATGACTTTCCCCAGATTGTACAGGTAGTAAGTGACGAAGATGTCAAACCAGATGTCCCACTGATTTACTCTGGCATTAACTTTTTTTTTTTTAATTTGTTTTTGGCTGTGCTAGGTCTTTGTTGCTGCATGTGGACTTTCTCGAGTTGTGGCGAGTGGGGGCTACTCTCTGGTGGTGGTGCGTGGGCTTCTCCTTGCCATGCCCCCTTTTGTTACAGAGCATGGGATCCAGAGCACAGGCTCAGTCGCTACAGCACACAGACTGAGTTGCTCTGTGGCATGAGGAATCTTCTTTGGCCAGGGATGGAACCCATGTCCCTTGCATTGGCAGGTAGCTTTTTATCTATTGTATCACCAGGGAAGTCCTGCATTAACTCTTAATGACATAACATCTATCAAGGTCCAGGTCTAAACCTTAATTACATCTATTCACTGAAATGGATATTTCCCCACTTGTGCCATCTTCAAGAACATTTTTTAGGGGGAAGAAATTATAATTACATGTTTTTAATCCATCCCCACACACATTTAAAAAACTAACAGATATGTAAGAGCATCCCCTATATGAATGATTCAGATGCAAATATAAAAAGGAGATTAGACACATCTAACAGAGATTAGTGTGACTACAAACAAAATGTTTCTGAAAATGCTAACCAAGGACTATACACCTTGTTCAGCAACATAACACGAACAACTTTGTTATTGATGATATATATGATCATGCTAAGACTCTAGAGAACTTTATCTGTCAAGCTCTCTCTATCATTTCCAAACAGCATTTCTTCCCTGGAACACTGAATGAATGAAAATAACTCACAGCAGCCAGATTCGTCTTCACTAAAGTAGCAGTCAGGCACTCCATCACAAAGCAGGAGGGACGGGATACACTCTCGGGTGGAGCACTGGAATTCTGTTTGGCCACAGAGCTGGGGAAGGGGGCTGAAAGGACAATCCATTTCATCAGATCCATCTGTGCAATCTTCCTGTCCATTACATTTCCCTGCAAGAGGGACACACTGGACAGTGTAGATACAAGAAAACTGATCAGCTTCACACCGTGACGGCTGTATTGTCACAAGACCTGAAAAAGAGAGCAAGTCATTTTCACATTAGGGGAGTCAGCTCTCTGTCCAGTGTTGAAACATTGTAAGATTTTTTCAATGAAACATTTAGCTAATTTAAGTCCATTAATTTTCTATTAGGAATAATAAGAACTCTAACATTACAGGCCAACATGATTATAGAATACACCTTATCTTAACCTCAGAAACATTTTTTATAAGGGCATCATTACTGTTAAAAATGACACTTTCCAATTAAAGAGGAAATTGTGGTTCATATTCTTAAATTCAACCATCAGATTTTCTTGGAGGAGTAAAAACACTTTTGTACAGTAAGTTAGGCACTTTGAGGGTTGCATTCACAATTTTAGCATTTAAGGAAATTGGCATTATGTCATTATACTGGTATACAGTTTATTAACTGTTTCTTAATGACTTCAGCTTGGGGAATTTGGATCCTGAGAACTTAGGGAGGACTGAGTCATAGAATTGAGGGCTGCTATGATTTTGTCGGACACGACTGAGCGACTGAACTGAACTAAACTGATGGTTTCGTCACACTATTCTTTGCCCTTCAGTCTTGATCACATTTCAAAGGTCTAAAAAGTACAATATGTGCAGTGGTATCTGAAATAGAGATGAAAGCATAGCTTAAGTCAAGATATCACACTAGTGAGACTCTTCAAGATAATGTGATTCATACCCAACAATCCCATTTTACAGGTAAGGATACTGAGGCTCATAAAATTTTAGTGTCCAAAGATACAATGTAAATTTAATGAACTTTTTTCACATTAAACTATTCCACAGCAATAGTTTGAATCAACACTTAAAGCATGAGAGAAGAGTGCTGACTTGCTGCTGTTTCTAGAGATCAGAGAGTATCTGTGAATATACAGGATTGCACTAATTTCCTGGAACATTATTCGTGGAACAGTCCTTATACTTCTTATCATTTCTGGGACATATATTAATGGGCTAATCAGTATTTTAGGAAAAAAAAATAGCATGTAATGGGGACTGGGAATTCCCTGGAGGCCCAGTGGTTAAGACTTCACCTTCCAATACAAGGCATGTGGATTTGATCCCTGATCAAGGAACTAAAATCCCACATGCCTTGTGGTTAAAATACCAAAACATAAAGCAGAAGCAATAAAGTAACATAGTCAATAAAGACTTTAAAAATGGTGCATGTCAAAAAAAAAATCTTAAAAAAAGGAAATAATGGGAACCAGTTCAAGAATAACTTTTTTTGTGTTTGTTACATTTTAGCACTATTATTTATGGATTTTGTAAGAATGACTTGTTTTAAACATAAGAATGGTGGTGTGAATTCATTTTAGAAATGAAATCTAAAAGTTCTCTCCCACTCAGTAGTGGTGATATACCCAGAATGTATTTAAATTCGAACACTGTGATGAAAGTCATGTATCTGAGGGAATTTTTGTTCATGGGAATAAGCATGTTTAAGTGGAGAGGGATATATGTATGACTTTGAGGTGCTTGTATCATGTTCTTATTTAACTACCTAAGACACTGCAGTGCATACAACTACACTGTTCCAGTGGAAACATTCTGAATGAAAACTTAGAAAGTAAATTGGATTTAAATTTTTATAAATATATATATATGCTATATATATATATATATATAGCATATATATCTTTTGATATTTAACCATGGTCAAATGAATAATTTCTCTTCATTCTTTTTATTAATCTCACATTGAAGGAATGGCAGACATCCTTACTTTTATTTTTTTCTCAAATATTTTATGGACTAAACTTTTATCTTTATAAATTTCCCTCAAGGTAGAACCTCAGCTCAAGGTTGAAAAGGCTGGATAAACTTTTTGCATGAAGAAAACCTAGAACTAATTTTAGTAATTAACCTATTACTTAGTTAAGCTATCAACCTTTTCTGAAAAAACACAAGGGAAATAATTTTCTGCATTTCACAAACTTCTTGCCTTATTCAAAATGAAGTGTGTGTGCTTTCCTTTACATTTTTGCTTAGATAAGATATGCACAAATAAACTTCTCTCTTACTTGGAGGCAGCAATTCTGTTAAATTCTAGAATCATTTCTATCAAAAGATACTCAAACTCACTTGTTCTAAGTCCTTCTTTACAGGAAACCTGGTAGGCTTGTATTGTCTCCTGTGAATTCTGTCTTGTATTGTCCAGATTTTTCTCTCAAGGTCAAGGCCCTCATTCCCCCAACTGCTGAGAGGTTACCAGATGATAGCACACAACTGTCTACCTCTAGCATCTTCCCTCTGAAGTCACACACCCTTGCAGAGGCTGTTCCTGGCAGAATTTACAATTGTCACAGTTGACCAATGGTGCTGGAAGGTTGATTATGGGGGAGACAGGTATACACAAACTCTCTGTAATTTTCACCTAATTTTGCTGTGAACCAAAAACTGTTTTAAGAAATAAACTGTGTGTGTACATCTCAGCACCAATATCCCTCAGAATCTGTATTCTAGCCTCTAACTCATGTTTGATATTTTTCTTTTCAAATTTTCTGTGTTCGAGCTTCTCCAAGTCCCTTTTAAAATCCAGCATTTAAAATTCACAGTACATAACTAAGTGTACTGTTCATTGGTCAATCCACTTGGTCCATTTCTTCCCATGCCCAGTGAGCTGCTCAGTCAGTTGTTTAAAACCAATAGAACTGAGGTGCAGAGTCAGTGAATGCACAAGAGAAATGGCACCATTTCAGTCCTAACCCAACTGTGTCTCCTTGAACATGGACGTGATTGTTCATTACATGTGAGAGTTACTTTGAGGGACTGTAGTATGATCAGAAAAGGCAATGGATGACTTACAAGCTGGATCAAGATTGCTAGAAAAATATCAACAACCTCAGATATACAGACGATACCACTTTAATGGCAAAAAGTGAAGAGGAATTAAAGAGCCCCAATTGGAAAAGATCCTGATGCTGGGAAAGATTGAGGTCAGGAGGAGAAGGAGGTGACTGAGGATGAGATGGCTAGACAGCATCACTAACTCAATGGACATGAATTTGAGCAAGCTCCAGGAGATGGCGTAGGACAGGGAAGCCTGGAAAGCTGTAGTCCATGGGGTTGCAAAGAGTCGGGCATGGATGAACAACTGAACAACCAAAGTACAATCAGAGCAAAAGAAAACCGACATCCAGAAAGTCAACTGAAATATACCTCAAAGAGTAAAGTGAGAATAGGAAGGATGAGAGGTAAGAAAGAGAGACAGAGGGACATCAGAAATGTTGGTGACTGTGACAGGGGCAGAGAGAGAAAGTGGAAAGAAAGACAGCCCAAGAAAATGTGGATTCATTTTGACAATGTGATTCAGTCTTTAATTTATGGGTGTTCTTCTTATTGCTGTTCAGCCAACATTTCTCAAGCTGTATCTGATTAGGGGAGTTGTGAAAACTTAGTACAATTGCACACAAATACACTCACACACATATTATATCATATTAGCTTTAGGGGCATGTTTCTCAAATAGATCACAAGTCTAAAGTATGTTGGGTCCGAAAACCAAGGGTATCTCACATTGTGGTTTGCAACTGATTCACAGTCCATGGGGTCGCAAAGAGTTGGACACGATTGAGCAAATTTTATTACTCTTTGTAGGCTGGAGCTGATTGAAGGCACTGTTAACTAACTTTTGCATTCCCAGGAATCAAAAACATTCCTCTCATTACCACATTCCACTTCATATTGTGCTATGCAGACAGGTACAGTTTCTAACATTATGGATATTTCTTTGTTCTCCTAAAATGATGCTGAGTTTCATTGTTCACTAGTTTGGGTAGTAGCTGAAATACCTTTTTTAGAGCAATAAACATTATAAACAATATAAAGCAATAAACATTTCATACTGATGATTTACAGTGAAATACAATGTAGCATTCTCATGAATTTCATATAAATTCAATAAAAATCTAAAAGTGCCCAAGGAAAATCTCATGGATTTTGATCTTTATGATTAATATGTTTAGTGAAAGCAAAGTTGATTGCCTGTTTTGAAGGGAAAGAAAAAAGATGCATAGGGAATTTTAGTTTTAAAGAGCAGGAATTAAGCTCTTGCCAAATCTTGCCATACTCAATGACATAAATGGTAAAATGCTTATTGTAAAATATGACAGCCAGTTATAAATTGGTAATTGTTTGTCTTTGGCCAATACTTCATTAACAGCATTCAAAAATGTTACAGGAAGCTACGGGAGGGGAAGCAGATGATAAATTTTAAACTTCAATTCTGCAGAACTTTTGGTTTCAGATTATTTTGAATTAAAATTTAATTTTTATATTTTTTCAAATCACTTCATAAAGTATAAAATATTTGTTTTTCAATTAAAAATACTTATCTTTAATGTGGATTCAGAAAAGAATCACTTTTATCTTTTTATTTCATTTCAATATTTAATAGTTTAAGTATTTCTAGAAAGTTGGACTGTGACTTCAGGCTGAACTAAAGAAGATAGAAGAGCCTGGCATAAACAGAGCAGTGTGGGGAGCGCTGGAGTGGGTGATGGATCAAGACAGCTTGGGTGGCTGGTGATAAAGGCTATGCAGAAATGTCAAAAGTCTAACACAGTATTCAAAAATAAAGGAAATTTAAGTTTGCAAAAGGTGAGTTGAAAGTTTTGGGTTGACCAAAAAGTCTGTTCAGGTTTTTCCATAACATCATATGAAAAATCTGAACAAACATTTTGGCCAATCCAATAAAAGCTGCTAAGTATTTGAAAAGAGATGCCATATGGAAAGTAATAATTATTTTCAAAGTGAATGGCAGAGCTAGTTAAAGCTAAGGCTAAAATAAAGATAGAAGAATACTAGAAATTAAATTTGCATTTGAGAAGAGACCATATATCTACATGACACAGAAATCATGAAAAAGAATAACAATTATTGAAATTGAAAAAGATAGAAGAGACAAGTTCAAAATTGATACAGACATACAGATATGCATAGACATACAGCTGGTGACTGCAGCCATTAAATTAAAAGATGCTTGCTCCTTGGA